AAAGTCGTAACAGTAAATGGGTAAATACAAAATTCATGAAACCCTCGTTACCTCAAATTCGAGGCTTGGCAGATAAAGTTAGACAGCTTTACGAGCCATTCGCCAGCAGCGAATTTGAAATTTGAGGTCAGAGCCTGAAACTTATTGAATCGAAATTGGTGTAGGTCTAGATTCATAATGGAAAAGTTTGTTTGTTGTTTATTTCTATCGAATTTTTCTATACATGATACTTAAATAAACATTAAAACAATTATACTTTTTCTCTACAATATTAATGTCTAAAAGAATGTCTCTTGGGGCTACTGAGGACCTAGATTCGAATCACGAGTAGGGCTGAAGAAACCAGTAATTGAGCTTTTCTGATAAATAATTCTTAGCTTAGCTATTCTTAGCAGACAGGAGGCAGAAACTTGGCGATGTTTCACCTCTTCGCCTCAGAAAGGACGTAAAGCTGTTGGTCCTGCGCCTGATCTCTCTCCGGTCGTGTCGGGGTGCCATCCCATCGGATTATGTGCTTACAGCTCGTGCACTATAATCCAGTCCTGCAAAAATGGCTAGTATCCGTTAAGACTGGCCGCCGTGACTGAAATGCGGTCTGGAGAACATTATTTATTATTAATGCTAAAGGTTAAAAACATCTCGAAATTAAATTTCAAACAATTTATTGCAATACAATATGCTATGGTTGATGCTTAACGGGCGTTGGCGTCGTGAACTCTCCATTCGATGGATGGTAAGGCGACAAGAAATCAGAATTAGTTTCCCTTTTATTTCAAAATAGTACTTTTGATTTTTTTCTCTTTTTTATAAAGTTGAAGTGACAAACGAATTTACAGTCCACTTGATGGTAAGTTAGCTACTGATGCATTGTCACCTCTAAGGAGTAAGGTGGAATGGCTCACAGCCTGTAATAACATCGGCTCGCTATACCCTTAAGACCGGAAAACACACTGCATTTTGTGGCAGAAATAATTAAGAGGGTATCTCTTAGACAGACGCGGAGTCCTACCATTTAGGAAAGATCGACGAAGAAGTAGAAATTGAAAGGAGTGGTTAAAGAACATGTTACATTTTACAGTAAACAGCCATTATGTTATTATGAATTCACTTCTAAAATAATGCAGGAAAGCAATGAATTAATTCATACAAATTAATAAAATTTAAGTGTCTGTTTGCAATGCCAAAATAACATTTTTTCTTAATGCATATGAAAGTATATACGTAAGTGTATGCCTATAAAAAAAACAATTAAAAAAAAAATTGTCTGACGGTCTGTTTGTTTGTTCCAGCTAATGTCCGAAATAGCTGAACCGGTTTTGACGGGACTTTTATTTTAGAAAAACAATTAGGGTTCCGCGCTAATAAATCAAAATCCATGAAATCCAACCGTAATAAATTCGACGCGGAAGAAGTCGCGGGGAACAGCTGCTGTTTAATAATGTTTGATGGCGCTGTAGTGCAAATATGATGAGAATGGGAACACTCGTTCCTTTACTGTTACCGTTACAATCGATTAAAGTCCCCTACTGAACATAGGCCTCCCCCATAGATTGCCTCATAGGGTGAATTTGCCAGAGTTGCTAAGTTTGGCAAGCGGGTTGGCAACCACAGTTTTTTATTTTTACTCGTTATAAGGAAGACGCTGCTGGTGCTCATCACCTGATGACTCAACCTTTACAAAAAAAAAAAAAACGCAAATAAACACAATAGTTTAGTGGTAGAGCCATACTGCTGCTATATTTTGACTGCATCACGAAGGGTGGGTTCAATCGGTGTAGGACCACAATCTCACATAATATCAGAGTCAAATAGCAGCTTAATGCTGCTATGTTTCCTACAGTGAGTGTAGAGAACCGGAGACCCTTTTTTTATAGGATAGGGTGACAAACGAGCACACAGTCCACCTGATGGTAAGTGGTTGCTGTGGCCCATAGACATCCACATCTATCCTCGATTACGAATCAAAATGCAGATGCGTTGTCACCCGTGAGGACTAAGATGGAATGCCTCGTTCCCAGTAAAAAGGGTCTCCGGTTCTCTACACTCACCATACGAAATACAGCAGCATTAAGCTACTATTTCACGCTGGTATTCTGTGTTTTTACTTGTAATGAGGCATTTCATCTTAGTCCTCAAGGCTGACAACGCATCTGCATTTTGATTTTCATCGAGGATAGATGTAGATGTCGATGGGTCGCAGCATTCACTTACCATCAGGTGGACTGCCTGCTTGATCGTCACCCTTATTTTATAAAAAAAAATGAATATATTTCACTTTTGCATACCTTTTGTCTACGATTCTACATCTACAATCTTTTTATAAGTAGAATACGTATACTTATAATATCAGTCTTCCTTCGTACAAGGTATTCATAATTTTATTCCAGCATTGACAAAGTAAAAATATGAAACTTGTTTTTATTTGTGTTGTTGTTCTGATATTTGTTCGTTTTTAATTGGCGAGTTCTGGGTTGTGTTTTGTTACTACACCAGCAAAACAACTAAATTATGCTAATTAACAAGGTTAAGCACATAGATCAACACTATAATTAACGACAAATTAACAGTTTCGTACTCTGAAATCCTCGCAGAAACAATAGGACTGTGCCTGTGAGGGCTGTGTGAGGCGAATATAGGCTGTAAATTTACTTTACATTTATCAGTTTCATGTTTTACGACACCAAAAGCTTAGCCTGAAATCCGTATAAACAAAATTTTAGTAAAAATGTTCGTGAAATTACAAGAAATGGCACGAAGCAAATATTTGTGTGGTCTACTAATAGTAATAATAAAATTATACAAACTAAAAATAAAAATTAAATTGTAATTAATATTAATTTAAGCAAGTAATTGTTTTGGATATGTATGATTATATGATTAGCCATGTGCAATTTGTTTGTTTTTTACCATGTGGTGATGTAAAATAAGTCCATCACGTGACGTAAGACGCGACTCCAGGATACGCCCATAAAATCTTTTGGCTTCCGACAGATGGCGTAAAATGCTCGTATAACCATCTGTTTACGTCAGACATAAATACCCAGACTGGCGACGGCGATATCAATGATGCGAAACGTCTCGTACTGCGATCTTCAAATCTCCAGCCGAGCGTGAAGGATTAAGCAAATCCCTCTTGGAATGGGAGAGGGTCCAGCAGTTGGTTTTACAGGCTGATAAAAATAATATTTTTATAACGCGTCTACGATGCAAAAGAAATTCCTAGTATGGATATTATATTCTAAAAGAAAAGTCATAGTTCTAACATGTGCATTAAAATTGAAATCAAACATAAAAGCTGGGCCCTATCTAATAAACTTTCCCATCGGACAAATTTTTAAAAAAGTGACATAATTGTCGAAATCGTAGAATTCTATAATACATACGTAATAGAACGGGGGAGTGGGCGGAACCCGTGTAGCCACTAACATGTCAATTCACACCTATAAATGTTAACACAATCGATCGTTTCCAATTTTCATGTCAAGCGTCGCTGCATGAAAATTATTTAAAAAACGGCAAATTGTGCAATAATTACGTGTCGAAAGAACAGCGAGAAATGGAATTTAAATAAAGGAGGCATATTCTACAACCAGTAAGTCCAAACTACTTATGTTTTGTGAATATTAGAAACAAAAATAAAGAAATATTTATGTGTCTAAAACATTAATCAAAAGTCTAGTAGTAGTGATAACTAATAATACGACGTAATTGCTTGTATGTGCGCTCGCGGCGACGCTGATCCTCGTACAAAATAAGAACAGCCATTCTATTATGTATTATAGAATTCTATCATCGAAATCTCGTGTACAATAAATCTCGTGTGAAGTCCGTCAATACGTATGTGAGCAGCGCGGCACATTAATTGCTCTCCCTCTGTCACAAATAAGAGAAGACCTGTGCCCAGCTGTGAGACGTTTATTTATTAAGAGGCGTAACGTCACTTCAACTTGTCTGTGTTTTTATAACCGAAGAAAATACGCTTTATAAAGCTACAAAATTGTAAGAATAATTAACGTAAATAAGTTAGTAAGTTAAGTGTAGGGCGGCTCCTCAATATATGGATCTGGTAAGACTTGCAGGGACTCGATGAATGCAGTTGGCTCAGGATCGTAGTTTGTGGCGTTCTTTGCGGAGGCTTGTTCAGCTGTGGACTTGTGAATGGCTGTAATGATGATGATGAAGCACTGCTTATTAATGAAGTTACTAAATTGTAAAAGTAAAACTGTTGTGAATTAAACCTCTTAAATTGTAAAAGAGACTTTTTTACAATAATTAATAATCGCCTGTTCAACAACAACTCAATGTTCAACCTATTCACAGAAATAGTAATAATTATTACGATTTTTGTGAACCTGCTCAATGTGTACCCAGTGTTCGCGTAATAAAAATCATTACATATTTAATATTGTAGCTACAATTCAAACATTTTAAATTTTCGATTATGATATAGATATTATTTATTATTAATATGTAAATAGTAATTGCAAATTGTAATTAAAACTTTTATTAGACAGTCGTCGCCTCTCCTAGAAACAATATTACTCGGACTCACTTTTTTATGTATAAACTTTTAATATACATAAAAAAGTGAGTCCATGAACGTTCATACAATTTTAAGTAGTAGATAACTTTAGTTTTCCATGTAAAAACTTTAGAAATCGAATTGAATTAGGAAAATAATTCAACTACTAAATTGGTTGCTATAATCTGCTTATGGAGTCCGTGCTGATACAGTTAAATATATATTTACGCAACTTCTTACTATCCAATTTATTACACGAGGCGCCTCTCACCCGCTAATTAACTTGGATTATACCAAGCTGCGCTCAATGCGCGGCTGAGTAGATATGATTTTTCAGATGTACTCTTGATGTTCTTCTGTTTAAGTTTATAGACTTGTGGTATGTATGTACTTTAACCAATGCCTGACTTATTTATCATATGAGAATTCCTCTCATGTAGTGATAGTTGTAAGTGGATATAATGATAAATAAATTTACCTAGCAGGCTGTGCAAGATGCGAGCGGCAGGGTTGGTAGCAGGAGAGGGCGGCCATGTCGCCGGGTGCTGGTGGTGCCGCCGCGCGCGCTGCTCATCATTCGCTCTCCACTGCTGATCAGCACTCACTCAGCGGTTGCTTTAGTCCCTTGCAGTGCCTAAACAAAGAAAGTATATAATCAGTATACAAGATATTTGAAGAAACAAAGTTTTTTAGATTTTTTTTAATAAGTAGAGTGACCAATAAGCTACTGCAAATATAGGTTGGCACCATCAAGACCACAGACCTGGCAATTTTAGAATATCAACAATTATAACAGTTGTATTTTTCATAGAATATTTCCGAATCTTTGATCCCGAATGTAGCCGTTAATCCCGAACGTATAGGTACGATATAAAATACTCACAAACTAGAGTACCTCGAATCTAGAATAAGTCATATCTTACTACAAAATGCTTTTTTGATATGAATCATAAAAATAATATAAAACTAGTAAGTGGTAGAGGACTTCAAAAAAGGAGGTTTTAAATAAGACTGTATATTCTTTTTTTTTTGTATGTATGTTATGTTACGCAATGTTTTCGTTAATTAAATATATAAATTTCAGATGTTATCCAATATAAATCTGTTCTATTATATCATAATTTGTTTTATACAAACAGTTCATTTCATAGTTCCAGTAGTACATGTATGTACAGTAATTATAAGTACCTAGATGACCGAGCTTTCCTCGGTTTTTTTTTTGTTAATTATATTTAGATACAAATTACATAATGATAAAAAATAAATAATATTTTTTGATCTTATTGACATAATAGAAAAAACTGAACTGGTTATTTGAATAAAAAATCATGAGTGCAATTATTTTAATTTAAATTTCGTATTTTTAAAAAATACAAAAAAGGGCTCGAAATAATAGATTACACCACAAAAGAATTCCCTTCTTCTTGAAAAAAAAAGGAAAAGTCGGACCGGAGACAGGACGCGGACCAGGGCATTCCGATTTCGCGACCGCCCGTTATCCACTTGAGCTATTACGATCGTTAACACGCTGTCAAAATTTACCTTCTTATATTGTAGCAGTTTTTCATTGCCTGAAAACATGGACAAAAGGACATTTTCTAAAAATGAATCCTAGCTAAATAGATTTATTGCCCCCGAAACCCCCCTGGACACTAAATTTTATGAAAATCGTGGAGCCGTTTCCGAGATTCCGATTATATATTATATATATTATATATATATATATATATATACACTATATATGTACTGTAATTTTTTGTCTTACTTCTCCATCTGGAACACAGCAATAGGTAATGCTGCTTGACGACTGTAAAAATAATGAAGGGGGAAATGCTAGATCGGATGGATAAATTTTAATAGGGAAGATGGATGGGAGCTACCATCTACCCTATCATACCATTGGGATCTTATAATTGATAAAATTAAATCCAAACACAAGCATACCACAGCAACACAAGCATACCGCATAAATGCAGGAAATTAATGCAGTATTTATGTTTATATCCTCAACCATCAACAGTTTATTACAAAAGAAGATTTTGATATATTCATTTTACTTTGCAGGCGAAGAGCCTACAGCAGCATAATATATAAGATCGCGTATTTCTAATATGTGCAATTGGCCAGTGATCGAAAAACATGCGATTCTTATGGTAATATTACTGGTCGATTCTATCGCCACAAGAAATTGATGACGGTTTTTCTAACACCACCACCATGCGTATTGCTATACCTGATTAAGTTTTCATTTAAATTACATATATTAGTAATGATGACATGCATTATTGCGTAACGCCGTTCCAATTTGCGAATTATGAAAGTTATTAAATTGTATAAGTACACATTTACACATAAGGTGTAGTGAAAAGTGGCATAAAATATTTTTGCTGTCTCATGAAACCGCACATACGCGTAGCTCTAGAACCAGGTTACGTCATAATATGCATTTGCTTCGGTTCCAATTTTGTCTATTCAGCATAGTCTAATACATAGAATTGCATGGAATTATAATAAATGTAAAAGAGAAAACGCACGGATACTTCTAATTAAATACTGCCATTGCTACACACATCGACAATATTTAATTAGTATTTATTACACTCACACTAATGAATTTAACATAGAATAAAATACATACTACATAAACGTATGACGTCCTAAACTGAAGTTTACCGATTTATTTGGCGATCTATTGAAGGTGTGCCAAATTAGGAATAGCCATAACTGACGAGCATCTATGTGCGTAGATAGATGAGAATGCGAAATTTTATGTGTTTATGTATTTATGTAGATAATCTGTATGTAAAAGTGTGTATAAAAGTGTTGTAATGTAGAACCGGACATCACTTTTAGTGTATATAAATACCGTATTACCGTATTAATATAAAAACGGTATTTTAAAAGCATTATAAATACCGGTTCTATAAAATAAGAGTTGGGTAACGATAAGAAATTCTTTATTGAGAGTTTCATTTTTGTAAAATCCTTTCCTTTTTACTGATATGTGGCTTTACTTCTTGGTAATCAAGGGTTACAATTGTTATAATATTGATTCTATTAAATATAAATTAAGGTGTTTATGGGCCCCACAGCAACCACTTACCATCCAATAGCCCACCTATATCAATATATCGTAATAAGTGATCATTATGACTACAGTGCAAATTACAAAGGATTTTAGAACCACCATTTATAAAATGAATCCGGTAACTGTATACTCACACCGTAATATGCTGTTATATATTGTATATATACTACACTGGGAATATCCTTGTGGTTTTCCGTCATCTGATACACTGTCATAAAAGGTTTCGCACAACTTTAGAAGGATGAATTAATATAATCTTAAAATAAACTGATAATCAAATCACCTGTGTTTGTCCTTATTTTAGTTTTCTAATAATGCTTATAATTTGAAATTATTGATCTTTATATTTTTTGTTGGTTTTGTTACCGTGTAGTGGCGGTGTAAGAACATCAACTACCCCATATCATCCCGTGGGTGTCGTAAGAGGCGACAGAGGGAGACAGGCAGGAGATGAGCAGCAGCGTCTTCCTAATTACGAACAAAAATAAAAAAAACTGCGGTTGTCAACTCGCTTGCCAAACGTACAACTGTGGGAGGTATGGGGGTCGACTATGAGGCAATCTATATACCTTTGGTCAGCTGTGGACGGCTATAATATGCTGTAACGGAAATGGTATATCTTTCGTAGAAGAAATTGAAGCAGCGTCAATAAGACTGAAAGAATTAAAACCGATACTGGCTACCATGCCAATACTGGCTTTGCAATTCTACACAGTCTCATAACTAACAATAGTAAGTAGTAGTAAAAGTCGTCTTACAAAATGTCATCGGGATCATCAAATACAACAAAACACGGCTCTAAGTCACCTGCTTCAATCGATTTTCTGCATGTCTTACCAGGTTGTCATTCTATCTAATGAAGGGGGGGGGGGATTCACAACACTTACCGGTACGTAATGTAATAAATATATAATTACACTTTGTGTTATTGACATTGGCAAGACTGAAATAACAAATACCTGGTGTGTTTGTTGATGTAGAAAAATGTTGATGAAATGTTTCAAATGAAATCAGATTTTGACGTTACAGGCGTATGGTTTTTATCCAACTGAAGTGACAACTGAACTTACAGTCTACCTGATTCTAAGTGGCTACTGCAGTCAACGAACATAAAGAAGACTAGAGATGCGTCGTCATCTCTGAGGCCTAAGATGGTTTTACCGCCTACAATTACATTCTCTCTATTCTATTCAGATCAGAACACAACAGTGCACGCAGGGCTATCTGGCGACAGAAATAAATAAGACGGTGGACCTACCCAGCCGGGCTCCTGAACAGAAAAGAGTCCTACCGCCTAGTAAAAGCAAAACTTGTGGCGGCGCTGTCGTCGCGCCACAAGCGAAACACATTGAAGCCTAAATCGCGCTATCAAAATTCCGAAGTAAAACAGTATATACAAAATAGCTCCAAACTACCACTAGCGTTAGCCGCTTCTCGGGCAAGACGCCTTGCCCTGCGGGAGATCTCCCCTTTTCCTTCCACGGCCACAAACTTAGTAGTATAATTTATTTGTGTTCAGTTATTTTATTTGCACTATATTGGAGTAAGCGACAACTTGATATGACATACGTAAAGTCCACTGATACAGGTTACCATAGGACCGTTTTTTGTAGTATTATTTGGATGAGGAGTATAATGGAATGCAGTAGCCCGTTGCCATCAGATAGACTGTAAGTTTGTTTACCACTTAATTTTTTAAAAAGAGGTCATTCAGCAGTGGACACAGTGGTAGAGCCATGCTACAGCTATATTATCGTTGTAGCACTTATGGGTCGGCTCGACCGGTGAAGAACAACGCTCTCACAGAATACAAGCGTAAAATGCTGTGTTTCGTAAGGTTTACTTTAAACGAGGCATTCCGTCTTAGTGCTCATGGATGACTACGCATCTGCATTTTGATTCTTCATCCGAGGATTGATGTAGATGTCTGTGGGCCACAGCATCCACTTACCATCATGTGGACTGTGTGCTCGTTTGTCACCCTCACCCCCTTATTCTATAAAAAAAACTTATGATGGACTATAATGATGATGCTTATATTAATTATTTGTGTTTAATTACACACAATAACGAAACGTACAGGTGTCCTAGATAACCAAAACGCGACTCGCAGTCGCCCAATTTGGCACAGTCCATAAATTTCATACCTACGTATTTCCTCGTATAAATTAAGCTAACAATTGGCTGCAATGTGCGTAATAAAGAGGTTATTATACTGTGTGGTGCCAATTATGGTTGAATTGAATGGCAAATTAGCAATTAATATTCTATCCAGACGACCAATCGGTTAAAAATTAAATTTAGGTTATCCATAAGCTTCCATTTCCATATTACATTTATAATTGAAATATAACTGTTTGTTTTTTTTTCTTACAAAATCTTAATTTTATTAATTTTACGACCGTTTAACTAATGGGGAGGTAAATATAATAATTCTTCTGCAGTT